GAGCTGACCATTCGATGCCAAGTCATTAAGTACCTCAAAATTTCATCACGGGACCTGCAAGTAACTTTTGCAACAGTTGGTGTGAAAGTACATGCATCTACAATGAGAAATTTTGTGCACCGATTTAGTGGTGGTTGTGAAGACAAAATCCAATCAGTTAAGGTATATATAGTATATTTTAGTAATACATATTTTGAATGTATGATAAAATTCCTTTTTAGATACATTTTTTAACTATTTGATAAAGGCCATGTGATTGCTATTCCGCATCACGAAGTGGAAAGTGGGTGTGACTATCCCGCGAGTGATTACGCCACTTTCGGAAGTGACATATTCTGAGAACGTTAAGCATTTTTAAGGAAATGGAACTCAAGCCAATAGTCTGGCAGCATCACGTCACTTCCCCTTTCCCCAGTCAACTCACCCTGTTTAGCAGCAAAGGTTGGGGACTGAAACCACTGCCAATGAAGAGAGGACAGATGGACGTGGGGGTATGGCTCCAAACTGACTATGGAAGATACAGTCACGTTGTGGAGTAGAAGGCACGTAGACAGACTATGCTGGCATGGATATGCTTCCATGCTTGACATGGTCAGTTTTCAACCAGGAAGAAGGTGAATTAGTAGGATGAACAAAGTATTAGAGAAATCAGTAAAAATGGACATAATTATATGAAAAAATAGAATGTAAATATTTAAAGAGATATAATATAATGTATTTAAAGAGACTATTACCATTTAATTTTTAAGACTAAAATTACTTTAACCTGCATGGGGGTGTGCCAGGAAAAAGCCTTTGGAAAACGGCTTCCTGCTGTGCCACCATAAATAACGAAGGTACATATTTTCATGCATTAAGGTGTGCTGACAGCCTATTCAAGGTGAATGAGCCATCTTTGGGAAATGCATGTCAACGCTTGAAAATGCATGCATTGATGCAAAGTGTGAATGGGCTCTAAGGTCTATATTCAGCAAACTTCTTCAAAAGGCAGACTTAAAGATGTATCATATAAAACCGGTGGAAAGGTGTATGTGTTTTTTTTTTTGTTTTGTTTTTTTGTAAAATAGCAAACGGAACTGTTCTCTTTTTTAATCCTAAAACAACCCTGTCATTATAGAAATGAAATTAAAATTATGTGTACCCTGTAAAAAAAAGATGCTTCAAACTTGCCAGCAAGAAAAAACTTTGCTCTCTTGAAAAGCCATGTGCGTTGCTGATATCCAGCACTTCCAGGTGTATCAGATGCCTGGTTCCCCACTGGATGCTGTGGTTAGTCCCGCTGTCTGCTATGTCACTACAGGACCCCCAGATGTGTTTGACACGGACACCAACAGCATCTTTGACTCACAGATCAATGGGAAAAAAAACATTTTTAAACATTTTACAGGGTGTCTAATTCAATTTTGGTAGTCTAGCAACAGGGTCCATTTATTCTAGAAAAATGACCTGCAATCTGATTCACTGTTTTCCGCTATCTTTTATATTTCTATAAAATACCCTTGCGAGAAACATTTTACATTTTCAGTAGAAAAGTGATTCAATTACATCAATCTTTATCAGTTTTGCACATCTGTTTCCAGTTCAGCTCTGTTTACATCTGTTTTTGCATCTGTCTTTTAGACCCTATGCATACTAAGTGATTAGCCCCAGTGCATGGGGCTCTGGGATTTAGCTGGGGGAAGAGGGCAAGGATGTCCCATCCAGCTCCACTGCTGGCAACCTGTCAAACTGTATGAGAGGCTGACATCTGCTTCAGATGTACAAGACACCTCGTGATACGATTGTTTGGGGCTGTATACACCTGGGGCAAATGCTTGGATGGTAGACATCTTGCATTCCAGTCATTCATCCCTGGGTGCAAACTGCTATAAATAATTGTACGAATGGAAGAAAGCGTGGCACCTTCTAAGTGCAGCAGATTAAAAACTTTAATAAAAAATAAGATACAGGCAACCCACAAGATACATGGTGGGAGGGCGCTTGTCATGTAAATAACATCCACTGTGGACTGGAGTGCTAATCACTGTCCAATGGGGTCAGTCTGGTGTAAGGTGGCGATGCTGGTGGCTCCCAGCACTTCCTACAAACTCCGGGTACACTAGGAAGAGGCACTGACACCACATCCAGTCACATGGGTAATTCCAGAGTTCGTAGGAGTGCTGGGAGTCACCCGCATCGCCGCCTTACACCGGCCTGACACCATTGGACAGCAATTAGCACTACAGTCCACAACGGATGTTATTTACATGACAAGCGCCTTCTCACCATGTATCTTGTGAGTTGCCTGTATCTTATTTTTTATTAAAGTTTTTAATCTGCTGCACTTAGAAGGCGCCGCTCTTTCTTCTCTTCAATCTCTCAACAGAGTCTCTTCTAGCTCTCCTCCAGCTGGCAGCCTCTAAGTTACGCTATCCATATGGATTTGAATCATCCATAAGGACATCCTCTGCATCACAATAGGACTTACACAGTGTTCTGTGTCCTTGTTTATTCTGCCAAGACCATTACAGTGCCATTCCGAGTGCACCAAATACTTAAGCCAGATTCTAAACAACTGTACCAGTAGGTGCCCTGTCCAGCTGCAGCAGCTGTCAGCCTCTCACAGAGTTTGACAGGCTGCTGGCAGAGGAGCAGGACAGGACACATGTGCCCTCTGCCAGCAGCCAAACGGCACAGCTCCATGCACCAGGGCGAAATGACCGGTATGCATTGGGGCCTTCCATGTACTTTTTTTAGTTGTTTTAGAAACTAGTCATAAATGACGAAAGTATAAACAAAAAATATGTTTCTTGTCTAAAAGCAGACATAGAACAGATGTAAAAGGACGACATCCGGTTATGTCCACAAAAACAGGAAAGAATGCAGATCTTTTCTGTTTTTCTTTCTGCAGACATAAACTTGGATGTAAGTGGATTTAAACGAACATATGTCCATTTACATCCACACGTCCATAGACATACTTTGCAGTTCAGTCTACATTTGTCTAAACAAAACAAAAATAAACAGATCCAGACTTAACACTGTGTGAAGGGGACCTGGGGGTCTATGTGTTGCAGTAAGGTGCACGTTACTGTAATAATGCAGCAAGTGAACGTACATGCTTTGCACAGCAATGAAATGCACTACGTTGACAAGAATCACGTAAGTCCATTTTCTGGTACATCCTGGTGTGCCGACTTAAAGCACCACATGTTAACATGCATGTATTAATGCAATGTACCAGAACAAAAAAGTGTGAATGAGAGCTTGGGGGCCCATTTATGAAGCAGATGTATGGCCTAACTGCAGCCATACCAGTGCCTCTCTATTAAAGTGCCTTTGGCACAAATTATAAACCACTACTGTGTGCTTAACAAATGTGTTCTGCGTTGTGCTTGCTTCGAAAGTTTGAAGCAAACAGAATGTCATAAATTATAATAAATATGAAAGTGTGCTCTTTGGATGAGGAAGCCAGACACATTACTTGCTTAAGCCTGACAGCGCTCTCCTCCTTCCAGCATCCAGTATGTTTTCTGCAGTGTTAAGCAGAAGATTGTTGCAGGACATTGAAGGCTCTGTACTCCACTATGAGGCTGTAAACAAAACAAAATGGAAGTTGTGGTGCGGCGTAATTACGGCAACATCCTGTGGTGTGCAGAGAGAGGAACCACACCTAAAGCTGAACTCCAGGATTCAGCCACTTACTAAAATTTGCGGTCTTACAAAAGGGTTAAATCCAACTAGGTGCAACCCACCTTGTGGTCTTAACTTTTCTTCTCTCTTTTAAACTGACAGCTTTACTGAGTGCTGGAAGTACAGCTATCATTAAACTTCTGTAATTTTGTCAGGAGAGACATTGCTTTCTCATACAGCAGCAGCACTGCCCCTTACCTATGCTGCCCATTCAGAGGAGGCTTTGTAATTTGTCATGGCATTCACATAATGCAAAACACTCTCTGATTGTACAGGAGCTGGGGCTGGCAGCACAACTGCATATGACTGCATCTGTAAAAGCTGAGACCAGAAGGTTCTGCATGGGGGGGTATAGGGATAGGTATGCTCTCGGTGCTCAGTAAAAATGAAAATTGTAAATGAAAGAGATAAGTGCACAAGGTGCATGCTCTTCATTGGACTTAAACCATAGTTTTCAGGCACATTTTACATGTGGTTGAATCCCCGAAGTTCAGCTTCAGTTATGAATAGGCCTCTAAGTGTACCTTCTTCTCTAGGTACATGCATATTAGGAGACAAACTATAAAATGGGTTAACCGACTCATGTGACAATCCTCAGTGTTTACAACTGAACATTGTTACTCAAGTGTTAATTTTAACACTTTAGGCTGTAAAGCACTTAAAGAGGACTTCCATCCAAAAGGGGAAGTTCCATTTTAATGCTTTATCCCCCACTTCCCATTAAGGATTGGCACCTTTGGGGAGGGGGTACCCGAATTTGACAGGTACCCGCTCCCACTGTGATCATCTAGGCGATCAGAAGCAGAAGTTGTCCTCCCTCCCTCCCCATAGTCTTCTGGGACAGGTGACAGGTCTCAGAAGACTACGGGGCCATTCACAAAGCACAACGCTTCTCGCACATGCATAGTGGGCACCCGGCTGTGAAGCCGCAAGCTGTCACAGCCGGGTGCCCATACTGAAGATGCCGGCTCCAGGGAGAGAAGATGGCCAGTGAAACCAGCGGTGGACCGATGGACAGGTAAGTGGCTGTATTTTAAAAGTCAGCAGCTGCAGTTTTTGTAGCTGCTGACTTTTTTTTTTTTTTCAGCTGGAACTCTGCTTTAACAGCATGGTCAATGTTTCAATGACTCCATAAAAATTCTTTTTCTGGCTTATTTGTACTTTGCCAATGGATAGCACATTGCAGACAACCCATGTAGCTGTGACTGAGAACTTACTAAGCTGCCATAAACAGTATAACAAGGATTTATTTTGTTTTCTATAAAGATTGATTGTTGCACTGTTCTTGGGTAGAAATTATTTCAGTCATTCAGTTCTTTCTTCCAGTTCTAACAATAACTGCGTCTCCTCCGCTGGCACTTCCATGAAGATTGCCTCTCGTCCTGCAGTTTCTTAAATGAGGGTCCCAGAAAGAACCACCAGCAAAATCCAATGACCACGCATATAACAGACTCCACAAAATAACCATCTAGTGTTGTCACGCATGTGCCACCAAGTTTTACACACAGCTGAAAGAAACATGAGAAAAAGAGGAAATGTAAATATTTTGGGGAATAAACAACCAAATGAAGCTCAGTTAATAAAATTATCTTTAGGCAAAACCACCTGGTTTTAACTACAGCAACCAATCACGTCATCTCTTTCCTGAATATAGAACATGTAACAAAATGAAAAGGAATCTGATCTTCTGATAGCGACAACGCTGGCCATAGAAGGTTCAAATCTCAGCTGGTGCAGCAGGGATCGGTCAAGATTCAAACCATGTATGGGCAGGCTGAATGTACCCAAGTTTATCGATTTGGTACAACCAGCCTGTCATTTTACATGCAATTATTGCTAGCGGCTATTATAGCTGCTATCAGTAATCACTCTTCTTCCGACTGGGACAGTGCTCTCGACCCCTCGCCTGAAGAACATAATAGCGTTGATGGGGGAATCCCTCCAGCAGAGAGGACTGTGTTGATGGGGGAGTCAAACGTGGTTTCAGGAAAGAAAATTGCTCCATCTATGGCCCACTTTAGGCTAAACATAAATGCATTTATTTGTCTTCAGCTTGCGAGCTGAATTAAAGTAATCTTATAGATCCCTCCATCCATGCTAAATAATGCTGATGGAGAAATCTCTACTGCCAGCTATTGTATTCAAGCAAGCATGACAACTGCAGTTGTCTGAATACCCAAGCAGTAACTGATTCTGATATGATGCACTCACTGTTCGTCCAACAGTTTTCCATCTGGCTCATTTGATTTTTCATTTAAAGTTTTTCAAGCTAGGTAATGCCGACAGGGCACCCATGACTCACATTTTGTCAGATTCCAGCTAAAGCAGTTGAAAGTCTAGCCATGGATGGCCTGTTATATGCCTATTGCACATAAAATGATTCTCAGACACTAATCTAAATGTGCTGGGGACTAGTTTTCCTAAACTTCAAAAGTTGTCATGTGGCCATTTTAGAAATAAAGCAGTGCCTACGCCTATTTAGCAGGTTTCCCAAAGCTACTTCAGCAACTTAAGTTATGCTTGGCCCTGGCTTCTTCTGTACCACACTAGTGAAGCTGCCTGTCACTGTCATGGATCATCAGTTAAAGCAGAACTAAAGTTCTGTCGGTTCATACTCTGAGCAGGCAGGCTTTTTATCCAAGAAGAGATTTACAATGTCTCTTCTGCAATAAACTACACCTACCTGCCTACTCACTGCGATCCCCAGACTGTAAACTGAGCAGTGGCTGGCCCCAATCCATGTTTGCCAGAATGACTAGATCCTGCACATGTGCAGGAGCAATGTTATCCCGCGGCCGCCAATGAAGATGGCTGAAAAATATGAAAAACATAGAAGAATATATCGACTCCACCAAAGGACCATTGGAAAGGTGATTGATCCCTTGAGTTCCGCTTTAAGGGAACCTCAACCACTTTCCATGCACTGGGTCACACAAAAATGATTGGATGTAATCACCAGAAACTAAGCATTCTACCATCCACAAGTTCAACTAGCCAAACTAGACAATAAATATAAAATATGTATTTTGCAATTTTTGATGCAAAATCTCTATGTGGCCAATAGAAAGCACAAGATTATGTCTAGGGTTTTCAAATGGCAAACATACTATCTGAACATTCTGTGTACACAGGTACAGTGTAGTTTACAAGATTAGTATGGCATATATATATCTATCAGAGTACCTCAGCAGCGTCGTGATCAGCACAGCTCTGTCCTTCTGCTCCAACACACTCTTTACTTGTCAGATGATCCACAAACCAAAGTGCTACTGTAGAAGGCCAATTGCCTCCAAGATTGGATACTGTATTTAATAGGGTCATATATGTTCCTCCAATGAGAGGATCGCTCACTTTGGCATTGAAAGCCATGATTGCCACAAACATACTATATAACGCAACCTGGAATGTAAAAGATAATTTGTTAGGAGCTATTAATGTACATTAGAAAAATGTTACCCCAGTGTATATAGTTATATGGTAATTAATAATCAACAGCCACTTTTTCCATTACTATCTGTATTGTCTTTAAGTCTTTAAAATTACTATATACTGCTAATAACATTACCAAGAAAAAAAACCAAAAAAAAAACCGAACAGCTGGATCCATCAAAATTTTAAATGACGTGACAATATGTGGCACTTATTTAATACTCATGTCTTTGTGGATCAAAGCATCCACCAAGATGATGTTCATAGAAAGGAATAGAAACAGAATAATCTTTACTTACTTTTACTACAGTATCTACACGGCTTTATTGTATCAACTAGTTCCATCTCAAAAATAAAATACTTGCAAATGTGTGTCCATTCCTTAAATGGGTCATTTGGAAAGGTATTAACGTAAATAGCAAATGTTGCACAGTCCAATTTGAGATGGTCTTATAGTGGCGGAATAGATAGGACCATCAAGGGGTGTTACTGCAATTTCTACACACTCAGAAAATGTTGACAACTCTGTAGTGCTTTAAGACCAGTGTACAGTCATTTCAAAAATGTGTAATTGTTAATTGTTTCTGTTTTAGGATCAGGAAACATTCATAGGTGCATTGTATTAAACACAAAAGGAAGGAGCATGAGCAGCTGAAGAATGGCCTAGAGGTGCCATGCTTGAGAGATCAATTCTAAAAACCACAAATTCAGTTTAAAGGAAAATTAAATATGGCAGAGGTCTTCTGTGAGCATATTCTCAATTGCAGAAGGTATGAACCATATTTCTGCGGTCTATAATATTGTCCACTTAGTGTCCTACTTTCCATGCCTTTTCACCTATGTTTGTGGTCTGTAAAAACCACCACTCAAACATACTGTCTTTACATGGTCCCTAATGTGCAGTGATTGCACAAAACACTAAAGTTACCAGATTTATTTATTTATCTAGTTTATATAGCGCCAAAGGGTTTGCTCAGCGCTGTACAATAGAGGGGGGGGGACAATACATGAAACAGTACAGTAACATCAAACAGCACACGAGGGGTAAGAGGGCCCTACTCTTTCGAGCTTACAATCTAGGAGGGAGGGGGTAGTGGTACAGGAGGAAATGGCTGTGGGGGGATGGAGTGGTAGGAGGAGGGGAAGGGCAGCGGCTGTTAGGTGAGGGTGGGGTAGGCTTCCCTGAAGAGGTGGGTTTTCAGGGAGCGCCTGAAGGTGAGGAGGGAAGGTGACAGTCTGGTGGATTGGGGTAGTGAGTTCCAGAGAATGGGGGAGGACCTGGAGAAGTCTTGCAGTCGTGCGTGGGAGGAGGAGACCAGGGAGCAAGATAGAAGGAGGTCCTGTGAAGAGCGAAGGGTACGGGTAGGGTGGTACCTGGGAATCAGGTCGGTGAGGTAGTTAGGGGCAGTCTTGTGAATGGCCTTATAGGTCAGGGTGAGCAATTTGAATTTAATGCGTTGGGCAATGGGGAGCCAGTGGAGGGAGAGGCAGAGGGGGGTGGCAGAGGTGGAGCGGCTGGTGAGGTGGATGAGTCTGGCAGCTGAGTTCGGGATGGTCTGAAGCGGGGAGAGCCTGCACTGGGGTAGGCCGATGAGGAGGGAGTTGCAGTAGTCAAGGCGTGAGATAATCAGGGAGTGTACGAGTAGTTTAGTGGTGTCTGGGGTAAGGAAGGAGCGTATCTTGGCGATGTTCCGGAGGTGGAGCCTGCATGTGTTTGTGAGTGATTTGATATGAGGTTGAAAGGAAAGGTTTGAGTCCAGAATGACGCCAAGGACCTTGGCTTGCTGGGCGGGATTGATGGTGGTGGTGTTGGTGATGATGGAAAGGATGGGGGGGGGGGGGGCGCGCGGGCTGGGGGGAAGACGAGAAGCTCGGTTTTGGAGAGGTTGAGCTTCAGGAAATGGAGCGACATCCAGTCAGAGATGTCATTTAGGAGGTGAGTGATGTGGGCGGAGAATGTGGGGGTGAGGTGAGGGTTGGATAGGTAGATTTGAGTATCATCAGCGTAGAGGTGGTAATTGAAGCCGTGGGAGTGTATGAGTTTGCCAAGGGAGGAGGTGTAGATGGAGTAGAGAAGGGGTCCAAGGACAGAGCCCTGGGGGACCCCAACAGAGAGGGGGAGGGAAGAGGAGGTGGCATCGTTGTAGGAAACTATTTTCAAAACAAGATTTTCAAAATTAACTCTGCAGCATCCTCTGACCACGTCCATTTTTAACCACACCCAGTCTGCAGCAAGCACACAGTGTAATGTTGCCCAAAGAGCTGCATACATACTGACTAAAGGAAACAAAAAAATCATTCACATTTCATAGCCCATGGACAATTCAACTTCTATTCCACCAACTGACACCAATGATAGGGCTCTATTCTTTCCACTGACACCAATGATGGGGCACTGTTCTTTCCACTGACTCCAATGAGGGGGCACTATTTCCTCAACTGACACCAATGATGGGGCACTATTTCTGCCACTAATACCAACAGTAGGACACTATTCCTTCCACTGACACTAACAATGGGGCACAATTCCTCCCACTTACACAACCATGGGACAATATTCCTCCCACTGACACTAACCATGTGACAATATTCCTCCTACTGATGCCAATGCTAGGCAACTATTTTTTTTTTACTCACTGACCACCAACCTTGGCACATTCTTCTACTGACCCCAGAGCCTCTAGAATTTTTTCTGATTTAGAGTCATTTTCTACTTTCAAAGACTACAGTGTGGTCCGCTTAAAGTCTGAGGCCTTGTTCACACCATACCTGCAGAAAAACTGATGGAAACTAACACGCAGATTTCATTTGCAGAGACATCAGTTTACATCAGTTTTCATGTGCATTCAATGAGTTTAATACATGTTGCAGATTCCTGCACAGAAAAAAAATCTGCATGATACCATTGTTGTCGTGTGAACAGGGCACATATAGAACAATTGATTTTGCTGTGCAGATTGCGTGCAGAAAAACTGATGTCCCTACACCATTGTGTGAAGGAACTCTAAAGGACAGTGAACTGGCCCTTTGCTTAGAAAGTTTTGGGACCCCTGCATTAAACCTCTTCCAGTCACTGGAAAAGTCACCGCATTACAGACAAAAAATGATAAGTAATAATGCTATTGGATGGAGTGTTACCTGATGTAAGGCATAGCTCAACAGAATAGCAGCATAGTAGTAAATAGGGAAGCCTCCTTCATGGCTTACGTGTGGAGTCCACCAAACTAAAAAGGCAAATTCTAGACCGATAAGCAACCTTTAATAGGGAGGCAACAGGCAGAGAAAGACAGTGTTAGAATAACAGCAGAATATGAAAAATAAAACACCTGTTTTACTTTGCCCCATGTGTAAAATACTGGGTAGACTAATGCTATAGCAAAATTACTTTAACGTAGCCAGTGTGGATTTTGTCTTCTTTTTCATTTTGACATTTCCACAAACAGTTATAAAAAGGTTTAGGGTCCAGTGGTTCTGTTTGTTTCATCTGTTCAGTCACATTTCTTCAAAGAAAAAACGGATTCAGTTTACATCAGTCTTCATCAGTTTTTCACCATTTTTTTACATCCACTACCAATACAAAAACAGACCGTTTGTACGTTTACATCTCTTTCAGTTTTTTTTCAATGGAACAAAAATTGGGCTTTGATCCATTTAAAAAAACGGATGTTGACGGATCTAAACAGATGATCATCCATTTACATTCGTTTTTCCATAGAGATGCATTGATGGCTGTTTTATCTGTCAATGGATAAATGAAAAACAGACAAACAGAACGCCTGTGTGAAAGGGGCCTAAGGCTACATTCACATGGCCGTAAAACTTTTACTGATTATTAGGTAGGGAACAAAAGGTCACGTGTGAAATAGATCCTTTTTTCTAATGCGTAAAAAAGTAGCCTGTTCTTTTTATAAATGGCATATGTGTATACACATGTCCTCAGATGCAGGTCCTTGGATCTTGTTTTACGGATCTGAACACAGTGCATGTTTACGCACCTGTGTGAATGTCTCAGTGGAAAAAAATCCAGCTGCATTTAGAACTGTAAATGCGTTTTTTCCTTGGCCGTGTGAATATGGCCTAAGAAGGAAACTACACTAATTTATAAAATAAATTAAAAGTCAGCAACTACAAATACTGAACAGACACTTACCAGCCCAGGAGTCCAACTCTGTCCTCCCCCTTCTACACTGGCCTTTGATACCTGGAGATGCCATCTTGGCTGTAGGGGTGGCTGTGACTTCCTGCTGTTTCACAGCCGCATCCCCCCCACTGCGCATGCATCAGATCCTGCTGTGCATTCAGACTGGTCCCACAGCCTCCTAAGACATGTGATGCCTCAAGGGAGGTTGTGGGGGGGGGGAGTGAGGTAAGCCAGGCTTGCCTTTTTCTTGCGTATGAAAGAAATTTGGAAGTGGGTACCTGCTCCCAGAAACAAAAACTGCCAATAATGTTACAGTAGAAGGGGAGGAGAAGGATGAGCAGAACTTTCACTTTTAATATTCTGCTTTAAACAATATTAGGCTATTCATAATTTAATTTGTAATTTTTATATATTTTTAAATCTGAGGCTTTTATTAAAACAATATCTGGAGATTAGGACAATACTCCGCCCCTGTTTCCAAACTGTACTCTTGCATTGTCATCCTTCACACAGGCGTCCGATGAAGACTACAAGTGGCTGTTTTAATGCTCATTATACAGCATTAGTCACTGTTGTCCCCATTTAGACACCTGCCCGAGAAATGCATTTCAGCCTTTGCTGTAGTGCAGGCATGTAGACATGAAATAGTTGCAAAGAGGATACAGGAGGTCAGCAGCACTGAGATGCAACAAAGGATGAAAAAAAAGAAGAAAAAAAACCCCTCTATTTTATAAAAGAATAAACATGACAGTTGTTTATGATACACACTCATTCAGTTAAGGTTAAAATGAACATTAAAGTTTACAATAATAGTGACTTGCTATTAAAAAAAACAAAAAACAAATCCCTCATCTCATGTAGAATACAAAATGTAACCTCTAATTCATTTTAAAAATTGCTCTCAAAAGATCATATGTGCGAACCTACTTAGCTCAAGGAAACCAGCCCATGACTAAATAATTACTATAATCATTAGCATCATTTTTTACATTTATTGTATTGGTAATATTTACCCTAATGAAGGTCATTTTCAGCGATCTGGCAAAACCGGATGCCTGATAGACACTATCTGCATGGACAAACTCCAGGTAGATAGAGTATTGAATGAACCTGGATTTGAACAGAGTACCTCAGTGCTGCAAGGCTTCTAAAGCTGGCCATACGTTATACAAATTTTCTTATTCAATTTCCTTTAGATTTACCTTCAACTATGTAGTGCCTGCCTGATTGTATACAAATTGAAAGTGTTTAGGTTTTACCTCATATTATATGGTTTTGGTAAATCTAAAGGAAACCTGTACAAGAAAATTGTATAATGTATGGCCAGCCTTAGCCACTGTGATGATCCAAAGAAGCAGGCTGCACTACCACTACTCACTTATTCCACAAGCTTCAGAGCAACAACATCCTGCCGGACACAGTTCAAGAATATTTGTTTGATTTTCTAATTGTTAGTGGGTCAAATTGATGTTCATTTTTTACAGCAGTGACGGGAAAATTTGAACGGGCAGGAAGGAAAACGTTTCTCCATCAAACGAAGCTTTGGCCAGTGTTCGTGGCTATCATTCAGAAATTTCATTCATTTTAAAGTCGAATGTTAAAAGCAAAAGACAATTTTCAAACGACATTTGTCCAGTCATTGAATGTTCAAAGAATTTTCGTAAGACTTTCTTTTATATTCTTGTCCAAAAATCGACACGTGTATGGCCCTAGCACTAAGCTGCAGACTTGGCCATTTGTACATTCTCATGAATGAATTGTACCATGTATGACAATCTATGATTCCCCAGCTGTTTAAAAGTATAAGTGAGAGTACATCCGATTTCTCACATTTGAAGAAGCTCTGTAGTGCTGTACACTCACTTACTAATCATAATTTGAGATAAAATACAACTTCAAAATCATGCTAGGGTGTATTGTGGGGTCTTATATGTTCTGCGTGTGTCTATGGGGATTACCAGACATGAATGTCTTAGTGGTCAAGACTACCATAGTGCAGTGTCCGTTATCAGCTCTGAGCCGATAGAACAATCTATCCCTGAGTGGTATGTTGGTACTACTATAACAATTTGAAGAGCAGTCAGAACATCATAAATGCCCAATTGGTTCATGAACAAAGACTAAAGCCTCTGAGGGAACTAGCAATGTAGCTCCCATTCCCTTATTCCACACTTCAGTAAGCACCGCCTACCCCCATGAGTAGGTGTTGAAACCCCTACCAGAAGCACGATGGGCACTAGATGTGATTCTAATACAGATCCCATGTGCACTCTTCCTAATGGCTGGGTCTGAGGTCAACTGGAATCAACTGTTCGCTGCGCTGTCAACTACCAGATCTTACCCAGGGTCTTTCAGCTTCTGAGTGTGCATAAAAGTGTGCAGTAACCGAGTTGTGTAGTTACAAGTAATGTTCACAACGATTTGGTTTTTATCTGACACTATTTATGCACTTTTAGGATCTGGGAAACAGTGTGCAAGGGCAGGCAGCAACCAGATTTAATGTAAAAGTGAACCCTAACCTTGTAAAACAACCCATTCAGTTTAAAATACAAAATGAAAGAAAAACATTTGTGTATAGATATAAAAATATTCTTTTTTCCTCTTTTTTTTATAAGTGATCACATACCCTCTGTTACCAGCTGCAAAAGAAGCTTGGAATGTTAAGGGAGGAGAAACAACAGTTCACTGTTCTTCCCAGTGATCCCCCCTCCAGTCCATCATGAATACTGCTGCCAGGCTCATCCACCTTACCAACCATTCAGTGTCTGCTACCCCTCTCTGCCAATCCCTCCACTGGCTTTCACTCACTCAACGAATACAATTCAAAATACTAAAGCAACTTACAAAGCCATCCACAACTCTTGTTGCCAACTACATCACCAGCCTGGTCTCAAAATATCAACCAAACCGCTCTCTTCGATTCTCCCAAGACCTTTTGCTCTCTAGTTCCTGTGTCACCTCCTCCCATGCTTGCCTCCAGGACTTCTGCCGAGCTTCTCCCATCCTTTGTAATTCTCTACCCCAATCTGTCCAGCTGTCTCCTAATCTATCCACCTTTAGACGATCCCTGAAAACCTTTCTCTTTAAAGAAGTCTATCCTGCTTCTACCTAGTAAACCGCCAGTTATTTCCTCCATCAGCTCATCCCCCCACAGCTATTACCTTTTGTATCACTCAACCCTTCCTCCTAGATTGTAAGATCTAAAGAGCAGGGCCCTCTGTTTCCTCTTGTACCAAATTGTATTGTAACTGTAATGTCTACCTTCATTTTGTAAAGCGCTGCGCAAACGGTTGGTGCTATATAAATCCTGAAATAATAATCCCATCTGATTATTGGAGGAGAGCAGGCTGAGTTCCAGCACAGTCAGAACACTGAGCATGCTGTGCTCCCAGTGCTGCCTAATTTGGTCAGTTTTTAAAGGGAAAGCAGAGGGACTGGCAGGAACACCAGGGATTTCACAAGTACATGGTATAGCAGGCACATATCAGAAATATATCTAGTAATACCTCATCTGGAATATGCAGTTCAGTTTTGGCACCAATTCACAAAAAGAACATTGGGGAACTGGAGAAAGTACAGAGAAGGGCAACCAAACTGAGAAGAGGCATGGACGAGGTCAGCTATGAGGAAACATTAGAGGAACTAAATTTATTCTCTCTTGAGAAGAGGAGATTAAGGGGGATATGATAAACATGTATAAATATATCAGTAGTTCATATAGTGAACTCGGTGTAGAGTTATTCACCCTGAGGTCATCACAGAGGACAAGGTGGCACTCTTTACGTCTGGAGGAAAATAAATTTATTCTCCAAACATGGAAAGGTTTCTTCACAGTGAGAGCTGTGAAAATGTGGAATAGACTCCCTCAAGAGTTGGTTCTGGCCAGCTCAGAGGATTGTTTCAAAAAAGGCCTGGATTCTTTCTTAGATACACAGAATATAACTGGATACTAACATTTATAGGTAAAGTTGATCTAGGGAATATCTGATTGCCTCTCGGGGGATCAGGAAGGAATTTTTTCCCCTGCAGGAGCAAATTGGTTCTTGCTTTGCTGGTTTTATTTGCCTTCCTCTGGATCAGCTGTGGGTATAGGATTATAACTTTTTTTTTTTAAACGGTAGAACTGGATGGACTTTTGTCTTTTTGGAGCCAGACTAACTATGTAATATGAAATCTTGGGTTAACATATTCTTTAAGGTGTATCTCAGTCACGACTATCATCTTGCAGTGTAAGATTCCGGCACAGGAGTTAAATAACTGTATTTTTAATTCATTACAGTAAAAATATGCATGTTCAATAAGGTAAATCTGTAGTTATTGTTATTTAAGACTTTCAATAAAATACAAAGTTATCTAAAACTGGAGAGTGCAAAATCTGGTGCAGCTCTGCATAGAAACCAATCATAGAAACCAATCAGCTTCCAGGTTTTATTGTCAAAGCTTAATTGAACAAGCTGATGATAGATGCTGATTGGCTACCATGCACAGTTGCACCAGATTTTGCACTCTCCAGTTTTAGTAAATCAACCCAGTCGTGTTTTGTGGCCATCCTGAAATGTACGTATCATTCTTCCATAATTACTGCATTTGCGTTCACTAACCTGAAAGGCATGGCTCTGTGGAAGACATCTAAAGGTTTGGGTCCAGCAGTGTACTTGCTGATTAGTAAGGGCAATAATATTTGCAGTGGCACCATTGGAACAGCCAAAAGAGCCAAATGTTCTTTTGGAACTCCTCTTTCTATAAGCTTAAGGCCGGTAACTGCATCAGCAGCTGAGAATCCAATCTGCAAAAAACACAAAACAAATAACACATTTGTAATCAGTAAATAAACAGTAGTACCTGGGTACAATAAGTACTCCAGCTGCATAGCAACACAGTTATGAACGGCAATTTATAAACAAAGGGAATTATTTGTTGTGCAGGTCATCATAGAATAAAATTATCCAATAGATTAACTGTATGCTGACATCTGATGTCTAAACCTCTAATAAGTAGCTTAGAGCAGCGTTTCTTAAAGTGGTTCTAAAGTCTCAAGGTTTTTTTTAACCTTCATGCATTCTATGCATAAAGATTAAACATCTTTTGTGTGTAGCAGCCTCCCCTAACACTTACCTGAGCCCCCTCTTTATCCAACAATGTCCACAACAGCCTCAGTTCACCGGGGACTCTCACTTTCGATTAGCCATTGGCACCCACTGCTGTCAATCACAGCCAGTGAGCCAATCAGGAGAGGAAGGGGGAGGGCCGAGCCACGGCTCTGTGTATGAATGGACAAGCTGTTTGCTATGGGGGCACTCGACAGGAGGGAGGAGTCAGGAGCGCCTTCGGGGGACCTGAGAAGAGAAGGATCCGGGCTGCTCGGGGCAAATCCACTGCGCAGAGCAGGTAAGTATGACATGTTTGCTACTTTTAAGGCGTAGTTCACACTGGCATTGAAAGTAGGTGTTTGAGGGGCGTTTTTAGCGCTCCTCAAATGCCTATGCAAATTATACTATATGAGCAGCACACAGTGCTGTTCACATTATTAAAACATGAAGCGTTAGCGTCACCTCGCTTCAAAATTGAAGCCTCATGTTGAGTCAGGAAGAGTTTGAAGCCTTTCAACACCTCCCATTCAAGTCTATGGTGAAGCTAATCAAACGCACTGGCAGGCATTTGCGGGGCATTTGCGATGTGGTTGCAGAGCGTTAATATCATTACAGTTTTTTTAGTTTTTGGTGTGGTTTTAACGCTTGTCAAATGCTTCAAAACTGCACATAGAGCTTTTGGTGATCATTTTAATGCTTGTAAAAAAGTCAGTCCAAAGCCCACACTAAAGCTCAATAATGCCTGTCAAATGTTTATACTAAAGCTATAGGAGCATTTGGTGAGAGTTAGAAATTTAGTCAAATGTGAACAAGCCCTAAGAGAAAAACAAGACTTTAGTATCACTTTAACCTCTTTAGTGGAAACCCTTTAAAACTATTCAAAATCTTGAGGCACCCTAGACTAAAAAAATGAAATGTTACTTATCAATGGGAAACCAGAGCTTGGGACAATGTATACACCATTATGTGACAAAATCTATCAGCGCAGTTATATATAATACTTCCGTGAACAAAAATTATACGTATATATACAGTATGTGTCGATTGCTGCTAAAACATCCCCTAGTGCTTTTCAGCACACCTCTGTAAATACAGTATACAGTGAAGGAAATAAGTATTTGATCCTCTGCTGATTTTGAATGTTTTCCCACTCGCAAAGAAATGATCAGTTTAAAAATCGAATGGTAGGTGTATTGTAACAATCAGAGACAGAAAAGCAACAAACAATTCAAAAGAAATGCATGTCTAACAAATTATGCACTGATTTGCATGTTCATGAGGGAAATAAGTATTTGATCCCCTATCATTCAGCAGGATTTCTGGCTACCAGGTGTCTTTCATACAGGTAACAAGCTGAGATTAGAAGCAGTCTCTTAAAAGGGAGAACCTTCTTTCCTCAGCCAGGGCACTGAAAATGGGTCGTGGATGGGTGTTCCAGCATGACAATGACCCAAAACACACAGCCAAGGCAACAAAGGAGTGGCTCAAGAAGAAGCATATTAAGGTCCTGGAGTGGCCTAGCCAGTCTCCAGACCTTAATCCGACTGAAAATCTGTGGAGGGAGCTGAAACTTCAAGTTGGCAAATGTCAGCCATAATCCCTCCTGAGATGTGTGCAAACCTGGTGACCAACTACAGGAAATGTCTGACCTCTGTGATTGCCAACAAGGGATTTGCCACCAAGTACTAAGTCATGTTTTGTGAAGGGGATCAAATACTTATTTCCCTCATGAACATGCAAATCAGCGCATAATTTGTTAGACATGCATTTCTTTTGAATTTTTTTTTTGCTATTCTGTCTCTCAGTGTTACAATACACCTACCATTCGATTTTTAGACTGATCATTTCTTTGTGAGTGGGCAAACATTCAAAATCATCAGGGATAAAATACTTATTTCCTTCACTGTATCAAACATTTAAATGTAGCACAAACAGAAAAATAAATAAATACCAAAAAGTATTTAATAGTAAACAAAAAGTCCAATCATTAAATGAATAACTCAAATGTCTATGAATAAATCCTCCACCACTGTGCAATGATCTAGAATTTTCTACTTCAATACAAGTGTGTTACTCTGTGTTCATACCACACGCTCACCTTCTTTTATTGACCCCAATGTCATAATAAAGTGGAACTGCACTGCATCTGACCACCACAAACCAAAAATTATTATTATTATACAGGATTTATATAGCACCAACAGTTTGCTCAGCGCTTTACAATATAACGGGAGACAATACAGCAACAATACAGTTCAATACAAGAGGGATAGGAGGGCCCTGCTCCTTGGAGCTTACAAATGCTATTTAATTCATTGTTAATATTCAAACCCAACTCACCCATCCACCCATGACTCCATGCTTTGTTTTGCTGAGAAATCACTTTCAAAAACATCCCCTAGCATTTCTGGCTGTGGCCAGCTTGAGTAAGGGCAGATGGTTTATGTATCTTTTACTTCCTGGAATCTATTTGCCCTTAGCTCAGGCATTGGCTGAGTTGAGAACCCTCCCCTCCAGAAGACTGCTGGGTTGTATGACATCATTTGCCTAGACATGGAAACCAGGAAGTAACTGAAGAAATGTAAGTGTTTAAAACATGTAAATATGATATACTTCCCTATCCATTCACTGATGCTAGCAGCATAAGGATTAAAAATAGTCTATGTTGACTGAGAAAGTGAAGTTCCGCTTTAAGGTCATAACACGCCTTTGGCCCCACCATGGGCTATTAGGTATCCCCTCTCTTCTGGGCTTTTATCCTTCACCTTCAGTAATCCACTAGGCCTATTCCACTCTCAGTATTTGCTGAAAATGCATTTTCCAGTGGAGAGGCATATAATGCTCAAACAAAAGCACATGAAAATTTTCTGCTCAGGTGTAAATACAAGCTTAGTTCTACCCGCAAGTGAAAGGATGGTTCCTGTTGGATAATTTATATTCCCACCTTTGTTTGCACTATCCTGTATTTTTTTTTTATTGTGTGGATAGGACCAAAGTACAAGCAAAACATTCAACCCATTTCATGTAGAGGGATTTTAGCAGTTTATAACCTCGGACTGACTCTGTTCTCTCTGTATATGTTTTATGAGTTTCTTCTCAAGAGCCCACAAATGATGAGAAAACAATCATTACTTTCTTTTGTGAAATTCAGCAGTCAGGTTTATTGATGAAGGTATTTTTCTACTGCCCCTCCACTGGAAAATACTTTTTGGAGCAAATAGTGAGAGTGGAATAGGGCTGGTGGACTACTGCAGGTGGAGGATAAAAGTCCAGAGGAGAGCGGAAACCTAATAGCCCATGGTGGGGCCAAGGCATTTTATGACCTTAATATGACATTGGGTTAATAAAAAGGTGAGCATGTGGTTCGAACACTGGGTGAAGCATGCAACACTTGGATGGAAGTAGAAAATTCTAGGATCACTGCACAGTGGTGCAGGATTTATTCATGGACATTTGAGATATTCATTTTATGTTTGGATAAATTTATTTACAATTATTACATACTTTTTATTTAAAAGTTTGATAAATGTACAAAACCACCTTGATGAAACTGGCTTCACATCAGAAGTCTCCCTTCACGTTAGAGTCCTCCCATCACATTAGCGTGCCCCCTTCACAAAGCCCCCCGGTCACACATTGCCTTATTCATATCAGACCTCAACCTTTTGGCTTCAGCAGTGCAGCAGGTTTGAAGGTGGAGAAGATCTGGAGGAAGTGGATTTCTGTCTTCTTCTGAATGCAGGGGGTGGCCCTGCATGCTGCCCACTCTGGAGCAGTTATGTGTTGCCATGGTGCAGGCGAACTAGCCACTAACACCTGAGCAATGAATGACTTTGTGCAGCTTGCCCAAAAGTGCCATTGACTGTTTATGGTACTGGTGGTTGGTACACCTGCACCATGGCAGCTCATGATATTGATTCAGAAACTGGGTAATTTGGGCAGTTAAATTGCGGCATATCATGCAATGTGCATTTGGGTGCCATTCATCTCGAATGGCAGCCCAAGCGCAGGTCAATTTGTCCCACAGCAAAACATGCGTGTAACATGACACTTGGCTCAGGGCCAAAATTTGCTTCCCGAGTTTATTTAGGGCAACAAAAGCACACAGGGAAATAGGCTGCTCTATGTGTGACATGTGGAAACGTGTGTGAACCATGCTTTTAAAATCGCAAACGGGAACCTACTTTCCTAATATGCAATATGTGAATGGGGCCTTAGAGGATAGTTGTAAAACCCCAATTCCAAAAACACTGGGATGCTGTGTAAAATCTACATAAAAACAGAATGCAATGATTTGCAAATCTCATAAACAAACTTAAATAAATTTTATTCGCAATATAAAACATATAAACATAATGTACCATTTACATTTTTTTTTTTATGGCAGCAACACATCTTAACGTTGGGAAAGGGCCATGTTTATCATGGCGTAACATCCCCTGCTTTTTTTTTTTAATTAATTATAATTACAACAGTTTTTCCACACAATAAAAAAAAAAAAAAAAACTTACAATCTCTATACCAAATTTTTTACAAATTCCATCCCCCCCCCCCCCAATCCCCACCCCCTACCCCTGGTCACCTCTTACTTTAAATCTCTTTCTTCCTATTCTATTTGATTCTTGTCATCTTATTTTATTGATCCCCCTTATCTCTATACTAAGGGATCAGTCTTTTCGCCGCATTTATTAAATTA